TTCTAACTTTCTGTACAAATAATAACGAAATATAGTGGCAATATTCTTGGGATTTCAATCAGTTGGCTTTTTTATTAAATAATCGTAAATTTGCTAGGTGAACATTTTTATACCCATTTAGAGTTGATTCATTCAAGTGACTTGGTCTTGCCTCAAACTGATCATTTACCCGTTTAAAAAAAAAAAAAAAAAAAAAAAAAAAGCAATTCCAGCTCTGGTAGGCGGGTGGCACTGACTGTGTTTGGTACTGGATGGGGCCAGAAGGAGCAATCTGGAGGTGTCTTCAGAAGGGCACCTGAAAAGTGAGGCCAGTGGGTCCTTGCCCTTCGGCATCAGTTGAACTTGCATGTGTGAAGGAATGTGTTTGCAGAGCTGCTCTGAAAGTCTGGAGGGGCTGCAGTGCTTCAAGCATTGCTCTGCAGGTGTCTTTCAATCCTGTTTTCATAAATATTTGAGGCATCTTACCTCATGGAATAACAGAAAATTTGCACAGATTTTCTTCAACTCCAGCCAAGCAAGCAACAAGGTTGGTGATGAGCTAACCAGAGAGACAGGCATTGATGTTCCAGTGACATGGAAAAAGTGCCAAGAATAATACAGAAAGCAAGGTTGCATTGCTCACATTCAAATGCTTGATGGAAAAGCTGAACATGTTTCTGGAACTGCAACAAAACATCAGGTGATTACAAGGTACTCATCATTTAATAATGACAGGACCATTTAGCAAAATGACTAAGCACTTGTGGTGAGTCCCAAAAATAAATCCACTCCCTTCAATTAGGGCGGCCATCAGTCTAAAAATAGGTTTCAGAGGGAGTGAGAGGGAACCTAGCTAAATAGCATCACCAAACTAAGGCCTGCACTGAAGCACAACAGAACTGGGCAAATTGGAACAGGAACCATAATGAAACACGATGTTCTTCCCTGGGTCACTTCTCCAAGTAGTCTGCTACACATTTAAAAATTGCAGTTATATCCATAATGTGTTTGGAAGCAGTTTTGCTGACAGACACTGATTTTTGCTGTGTCTTGGCTTGGTTAAAGAGCTCTTTAGCTCTTTGTACCTTCTTAGGCAGCTTCTCAGCTTCTAAGCTGATGATCCTTGACTTGCTTCTACCAAACATGCACCTTTCTAAAATATATTTATATAGCTTGATGAAACTTGTACTTGAAATCTGAAATTTGAAATTTATTTAAAGAAACGTATTTCTCTGATAATTTATTTGAAGATTTCATGTGTTTACTTAATCATTCTTTCATTTATTTGTTACTTACAGATTTCTACAATGTTTTTTCCACTGCTTTTATGAAAAATAGTATCAGGCTTATTATCCAATAGCTAATCACATGATTTTTTAACCAATTTTCAGTTTTCCTGAAAGGACCTAAGGAGCTTTCCAGTCTTCTGTAACTTTTGTGGGAAGCTCTAGGAAGAGTAATTTCTTCACTTTACACCCAGGAGTTCTTAGAGAACACTAATGGATAGATCTAAATAAGCACGGAATTGTGGAATCACAGAATGGTCTGGGTTGGAAGAGATCTTAAAGATCGTCCAGTTTCAATGCCTCTGCCACTAGACCAGGTTACTCCGAGCCCCATCCCACCTGGTCCTAAACATTCCCAGAAGTGGGGCACACACAACTTCTCTGTCAACCTCTCACAATGCCTCACCACTCTCATGGTGAAGAATTTCTCTCTAATACCCAATCAAAACCCACTCTCTTTCAGTTTGAAGTTGTATCTCCTTGTCCTGTCACTCTATGCTCTTGTAAAAGGTATTTTTCCATCTTTCTTGTAGGCTCCCTTCAGGCACTGTAAGGCCACAATCAGGTCACCCCAAAACCTTCTCTTTTCCAGGCCAAACTAATCTAATTCTCGCAGCCTGTCCTTGTAGGAGAGGTGCTCCATCCAACTCATCATTCTAGTGGCCTCCTCTGGACTTGCTCCAGCAGGTCTATGTTCCATGTCCATGTCTGGGGACCCCAGATCTGGATGCAGCACTGCAGGAGGGGTCTCCCCAGAGCAGAGGGGCAGAATCCCCTCCCTCACTCTGCTGCCCACACTGCTTTGGATGCAGCCCAGGACATGTTTGGCTTTCTGGGCTGTGAATGCACATTGCTGGGTCATGTCCAGCCTCTCATCCATCAGCACCCCCAAGTTCTTCTCCCCAGGGCTTCTCTCCATCTGTTCATTCCCCAGCCTGTGTTGATAACCAAGGGTTGCCCCTAACCAGGTGCAGAACCTTGCATTTGGTCTTGTTAAACCTCATGAGATTCCCATGGGCCCACTGCTTGGATTTATGCAGGTTCCTCTGGATGTCACCTGTCCTTCAGGTRTATCAATTGCACCACTCACTTTGGTGTTATCTGCAAATTTGCTGAAGATGCACTCAATCAATTCATTTATGTCATTAATAAGGATGTTAAATAGCACCGGCCCCAATACTGACCGTGTTTCATGTATGGTTTTGATTTTACTTGGCAGGTTTTTCTGATTAAAAGAATTGTCACGTCCTCAAATGATACAAGCATAAAGTGTGGAACATTGTTCTTTGAGATACAAACTATTTAACATCCACTGCCATCCACTGAGTTCTTCCTATCTCTTCTTCTTCTTGCTGTTGTTCATTATTTCCCTCAGCTTTGACCAGATAGCTTTTTTAAAGCACATACATCACATATTGAACATAATCAGGTTATGATTGTTGGTCCCTAGGCAACCACCATCTTCCAGGCCAGTGATTAAGTCCTCTCGTCTCATCATAATGAAGTCCAAACTAATTACCTTATGTCATAGTCAGTAAAATTTTTTTTGGGAAAAAGAATTCAGTAGTCTAATGATGCTCTACTACTGGCTGCATGAAATCCCAGCACAAGCATCCTAAATTGAAGTCCCTGCAAAATGAGAATGAGGGCATTTTTTTCACACACAGCAGATATGTCTATCACTCCCTCTTCATTAACTTTATTAGCATACATGTTGGGACACCTACATTTAAGATCGTGCTGGTTTAAGTTATTCACCAGCAGAAATCCACCAGTGATGTGTTCCTTCCCCACCAAGCTGYTCTCAGCATTCTGTAATTAACATTCCTGCCAAGTAAATTGTCTCTCAAGAATGTAATTATAAGTGAGAATTTTCCATTCCCTTTCTTTATATCTCAGATTCAGAGCTTATGAATACAGGCAATTAAAAATTGATTCTGGCAGGGTCTTTCTCGGCTGAATTATTATTTTATACTTCCAGAATGTGGAATAAATACCCTGTACTGAATTCTGTTCCTCTGCAGCTAAACTGTTTCTACACTTAGGACAGCTCATTTAAATGTAGTCTGAATATCTCTAAAATGCAGATTGCCATGCTGAGAGACCTTTCAGCTCTCTGCTGAGTTCTGAGAGCCTTCACTACCTAAGGTTGAACTCCTGCTCACACAAATTGCATATTGTCTCTGCTAGAATTATTACAAATGACCATTCACCAGTTAGAGATTCCTCACCTACTGGGGTTTTTCTTCCATTATAAAAATTAGCAGGTTTGTGCATTACTTGAGGGGACTGAGGAAGCTCTCTGCATTTTCCATGTGAAATACTAAAACAGAACTGGACATTGTGTGCCTGTGCAGAGCAGGACCCTGTTTTATTACATCAAACCTGGCTTGGTTCAGTACCACCATAAAATGGACATCAGTAAAATAGTGATGACAGCTGTTTTACAGGTCTCAGACTGCATTCTCCAAAGAMATACATAGATTATATGTACAGCCAATGCCAGCTCTGTTCAATAAAGCCCTCCATTTTTTTATATCGCTGTTTGATAAATCYAGATAGGAGAAAGCCCCTCAGTCAAGCTACTGCTGTTCTCTCTCAGAGCTTTTACTCAAGAGCTGAGCATCGCAGAATTTTAAATATATGGACATGTTATGGTCATTTAGTGAGGAAAGTACCTGCTGTCGCCTGTGGTGGTGTTAATGAAATGGCAATTTGGCAAATACTATTCAAAATACTTACTTACTGATACAGCATATATAAGAAGGGAGCAGCTTTAATTGAAGAGGCTCCTTTTAATTACATAAATTATAATGTACATGTGAAACTGTGCTTTAAATGAGAGTTCCCCTTTTAACACACAGAAAAAAAGAAGATAGAAACAAAAAAAAAATTACTAAGAATATGTAAGCAAAACTGTATTTCTGGAAATATGGAGAGGGTAAACTACTGTTTTCTTCTGGAATATATCTAAAAATTATTCTAAGTTATTTCAGAGACTCTGGCTGTTTCTCTGGCATTAAGTAATAAATGATTCAGGCATGGCTTTGGGGAAKCTTTGCTGTTCTGGACAATATAGAAATGTCCAGGACAGGGACAAGATGCTGAAATTGAAATTCTGAATTAAATTGATGAGATTAACTGTGATGCCATGCTAGACGAATAAAGGTCTTAGATGAGGTCCTGCTGAAGTGTACTATTATTTCTTGTTTTAATTCTGGAGTGACAACTTGCAGGACTTGTGATCCCTGATTCTGGTCCTACATTTCCTCCATGATGGTTCCTCCAAGATCAATTATTCCCATTATGGCCTATTTCTGGTAAAGCGCAAAATTTGCTTTTTTTTTTTTTTTTTTTTTTTTTTTTTTTTTTTTTTTTTTTTTTTTTTTTTTTTTTTGCTCACTCACTTCCGGCTCCTTGCTGGCAAAAAAAGCTGAGCAGGCCCCATCTGCCTTCTGGCCAGTGCATTTTGTTGGCTGCAGTGATATTTTCAGCCTGAGTCACTGCTGGCAGCCTCCTTCCCCCCAAGCCATGCAGCATCTGCTTCCACCCTGGGGCTCATAGGAGAGAGAAGAGCAGCAGGCAGCAATGACCAGACCCAGCCATTTCAAGAGAGCTGTAGCCTACACTGTTGCTGACTCTTTGGGGTTCACATCAATCCAAAAACWGTATCTTTCTGCCTTTCTCCCCTCCCTCCAGCACATGGGACCCTTTCTCCGTTTGCTAGCATGAGTGATGGAGCAGGGACGGAGGTAGGAAGGTGATGATCCTGGTGGGACAGGAGAGSAGAGCAAGGAGGCACTTGTGAGACTGAGTGGAGAGCAGGAAGAGGTGGTCTCCTAATGTCTGTGTTAATAGCTGGACAACAGGTGGTGTCATAATCTCTGTGTTGCATAAATGATAGGTATAGATGGAAAATAATTGGTGTCACAATCTCAGCGGCAATAGATGGATTTTAACCCCCTCTTTCTTCAGTCCCCTGTAGGCAGGCTTCTGAGTCTCCCTTCTGCCATCTTAAAAGAGAGCCAGTGAAGTCATCTCACACTTTTACGCGAGAAAATCAAAAGCAGAAATATTTTTGAACTGTACCTTTCAAAACTTATCAAAATAACGACCTTCAGCTCCATTTTCCCTGTTTGACATCTCCGCCTCTTGCTGCCGGGACCCCCCCTCCGCCCCCGCCCACTCCCCCCGCGATCCAGTCCGTGTATTCCCGCCCGCAGCGCTCAGGCCGGGCGGCCGTTGGGCTCCGCTCCGCGTTTTCCGCGCGCYCCCCCTCAGCGGAGCCGCAGCTCCGGGCGGGACGCGCCGAGTGCCCGGCGGGCAGGGCCGGCACCGAGCGCAGGTACCGGGGCAGAGGGGGTGACAGGCTCGTCCTGCGAGCCGGGGGGGTTTGGGGCACTCGCGGGATGAGACGGTAACGGGAGGCAGCCCGCGGGGGGCGGCGGGAGGGACGCGGTCCCGCGGCAGCGTGTGCCGGGAGCTGGCCGGGAGCCCAGCGGAGCAGGTGAGCGCACCTGCGGTGCCAGAACAAAGCTGCGAGGCGTGTCCGGGGTGCCCGGCTGGGCTTCGGGCATTCCCGACCTTGGCTKGAGCGTTTGATCTCTGCCTGGGGTTCCGCTCAATCGGGGGCTGGGCCAAAGGGAGAGGCGCAGCTTGRAGGGACGGAGAAGGGCAGTCTGATTTAGATCGTCTTCTGGCGCTGCTGCTGCGATCCACCTGTAAGTTTTTGCTTATTTTTTTTTATGAATTGGTTGTATAAGAAGCAAGTTAATAAGCAGTCCTGTGTTAGACGTGTCTGGTCCAGCAGATGCGACGCGGAGTGTTTAATCATGTGCAACATTGTAGAAAATTACGGAAACGACAGTATTTTTATCAGTACAGCATCTTGAACTTATGTCTTATTTTAAGGTATTTCTCTGCCTAGGGACCAACAAGCATAACGAGATCCTATAATTCCAATATTTTTATATCTATTTTTATTGCTTGATCAAAGGTTTTCCTGTCTRTCCATTGCGTTTGGGATAAGAAACACCCAAAGCTCTGCTTCAGTTTTTGGGTGGGAGCACATGCTACAGCTGTTAACAAAGACATTATACTGCAAGTGGCATTGTGTCCTCAGATACTACTCCAGGATATCTCTCCGTGCTTGGCTGCAATAATAATAATAATGATAAAGCTAGAAGTGTTTCATTTGTGCCATCTCATGAGATGCAGAGATACTCACTGAGTTAGTGCTTGCATGTTGTCTAGTTTGTCCATCATCATGCCACACACTAAGCTCTGTCTTTTTGTCAAAATGTCTGTTATCATTACCTGCTGAAAAAGACTGTGGATGAGCAGATCATAGAAATTGGAAAAAAAAAAAAAAAACCTACACTGAGCAAGCCTGGAATGTAATAGTCTGTATGTGATTTGAAAAGCAACAAAGGTCCAGTTTAGCCATAYATACTCCTTACTGTTTCTCATGGAGTGAATTTTGTTGGCTGGCATCAAACTGCTYCTATTTCTATCATCTCCAGTGTATTTATTGAATGAGAGAGCATTTTGGGTTTCCAGATCATAGTGTAATGCTTTTCCAYTTAATTCTTTATGAAATCATAATTTCCAGTGTCTAAAGCTGGAGAGGGTCTTTTGCCGAGCTGTGACACTCTAACTCAAGTGCAYTGTGTTTTCTTTTAAACCAAAGACTGAGAGCCCTCTTTTTAGTCGTGTAGTAGGTCCACCCAAATTTTGATACAGTAYAGTCCTGTGATGGTGGAGGTGTGCAGTGATTTTCACAACACAAGGAGTTGAGATCCTTGATGACCTTTGCCAGGCTGCAGCCTTAAAATGACCTGCTGGAGGTTATTTGTCCCGTGAGTAGTTCAGCACTGGAACTCACTGGTATGGGATGCTGTGAAGGTCAGCAGCATTAATGGTTTCTGAAAATATTGGGCACATTCACAGGAGACAGTTCTGCTGGCAGATAAACATAAAAGGYAAGATGCAGCTCTCATCTGAGAAAGGTTTAAAGCCCATGTTTATGGGAAGCTGAAAAGGTGTTCTGGGAGAGGATCGTTTTACATGCCCCATGCTGTTATACTACTTGTGAATCAGCTACTGTCAGTCACTTTTTGTTTCTGAGAGAGAACAATGAACTAGGTAAGTCATTGATCTATCTAATGTGGCTGTTAAATTTTTATGATAATTTGACATTGTGCATCAAACAGTTACTTTGCAGAAGGGAATTTATTATACATAAGCATGTTCCAGCAGAGGAAACACAAAAGTGCATTTCATACTTGTAACAAAGAAAAAAAAACACATAATAGAGATGGTTCAAATATAAATTGTTCAGCTTCAAATTGTGAAGCATACAATACTGGGGAAAAAAAAGAAACCAATCATAAAAGAAATTGCTTTTAAGAAATTGAATTGATTCTTTTATGCTGCACTGTCCTATATGATTTTTTTTTCCTATAGTATTTTTTAAATTGTTAAAATAAATGATGGTTTTCAGTACTGCATCTAGGTTGGTGCTATCGAAACAAAAAAGTGGATGTTTTGATCTGAGAAAAACTGAATAGCAAATGAAGAAGTAAAGCAAACAGAAGGAAAATGTTGGCAGAATAAATGACCTACTAAGTTAGAGCATTCTTATCCTTGCTGTCATTCTGCTTTTCATTTGCTTGCTATTTTCAAGCTTTTGATAACTGAATTAAAATTGCCACTACTTCGAAACATCTCTTCTTGATGTGGCAGTATGTATTTCTTCTGAAAAATGTCAGTTCCAGAAAAATCTTGTATTTATATATCACATTAGATTGAAATCCAACATTATAGATGCAATAGCAATGGGTTTCTTAAAAACTAAATAAGAAAAATTATGTGAAGAAGTTTYATCTTTGAGATACTAAGATTCCTAAGAGTGGTTTCTTAACAGATTACAGATCTGTTAACTACAGATTTTAATTACATTTTAATTATTAAAAAAAAGAAAGGAAAAAATACTCAACAACTTTTATAAATATATAAGGTTAAATGAGGCATAAATGGTATATGAACTAAAGTGATAACCTACTGAAAAATTATTTTCCAGTTTTAGTTGCACACAATGAATCTTCTTCAAATGCTTATTCTAGCTTTTTTACCACCTCCAAGTGAGACTAAGATAAGCAAGGGAGGAGTGAGGCGAGAGAGGGAATTTCAGCCTACCCACCACTCTGATGACACTGCAGTTTTACCAAGATATTTCATATAGTATGCAAAGTGTATTATGAGGCCATGCGCAGGTAGTCATAAGAGAATACCCATTAAAATGCAAAGTAATGTCAGACTGAAATTACATAATTTTAATAGAGTTTTAATAAAAGCACAATAAACCTAAATGCACTGGACTTTGACCAAGACACATTACATTTGACAACAGGGTGTAAAAAASTTAATTGATTATTTATTTACTTTCTGGCTTGAAAATAATTTTCTGTGCTGTGTTGCAGCCAGCTTTCATAAGACATATAAGCAAATTTAGACAGATGATATGAATAAAACTGCATATTTCTTTTGCATGGTAATGCAAAATATATGTGTTTTATATCCTTCTCRAAGGGTTATGAAGGATGCTGTCAAGGTTATTTATCATGAGCATAAATTAGAATGGGCATATAAATCCTGCTGAAATACAATGTAGCAGCTAATTCTGAGAGTGTTCTGTCTGTAATAGCCCCTTTTTTCACAATGATATCTTTGATGACAAAATTATTTTGTTATTTTGTCAGTCATTTAAATTTGTTGTTTGACTTTTTTAAGAAATTCTGTAGTCTGTATCATTTTTTTTTCTCCTCCCCCCATCATCCACTTCCTCTCTGTCTAGAGCCTGCCTACAGAAAAATAAGTAGATGAAACATGTAATTCTTTGTTGTGGATGAAACACCCAGCAGTGGCTCTCCTGCTGCCCTCAACCCATGATCTRATTGCTCTTGCTTTGTGTCAAAAGGATAGAGGATGGGGTAGATAAAGAAAGTTATTCTTGAAGCAAACTGTCAGATATTTCTTACGCAGTTTTGCCTTGAGAACTGTTGATTTCTTCATTGTGTGGGTTACACCCATGCATGCTGGGCACTTTGCTTCTCAGTCAAAAGCTTTCCATCTTTCTTTCTTTCTTTCTTTCTTTCTTTCTTTCTTTCTTTCTTTCTTTCTTTCTTTCTTTCTTTCTTTCTCTCTTTCTCTCTTTCTCTCTTTCTTTCTCTCTTTCTTTCTCTCTTTCTTTCTTTCTCTCTTTCTTTCTCGCTGAGCTCTTGGAAGGGTTTTCAGCCAAGGTATATGATGCAACCTGAGTGAACAAAATTAGTGTCCTGTTCTGTCAGTGCAGGTCATCATCTGGGTGGGTAATGATCTTTTTTTTTTTAAGTCTCCCTACATTTGGGACTCCTCCTTTAAACTGTGGGCTGAGCTTTTTGCCTCTGGTGCCCAAGGAGAATGATTAGTGCTTTAGAGGACAATAGAATGATACAGAAATTTAKGAAATGACTGAATCAGCTCTGTGTAACAGTTGCTTACAAAGGGTAATGTACCCTATCTCCTTCCACAAAACCAGTGGGAATTTTGGTCTCATTGGCACAGARTTGATTGTTTACTCCCACTGAGATTCTGGCACCACCTGAACACTTCACAGAAGCCACTCTTGAGGGGGAACATTTGAAAATTTCTGCCAAATTCAAGACCTTCATCTGATAACTGCATGCTGGGTATAGTTCATTGGCAACAAAGGATCTCTAGAAACTTAGCAATTCTTCTCTTTTTCCCTGATTTTGCATCGTTCTATTACCCTTGGGTGAACTTTCCTTTCTATCTATGTAAATGTGCCATACAATCTGTGTCTCCATTAGTCACCTTTCCAAAGTCATGAGAAGTTTAAAGCATGTTTAAAAATATCTATTTCAATTTACTATCATATTTAAAAGCCTAAATCTTTTTACTTAGATCTCAGAATACCTTGAGAGAGATGTCAACTACAGCACTGGGAGAATGCACTGTGTCCTAAGAGGGATTGACAGAATTTGGCATGAATATCTGAAGTGGCTCACTCCAGTTTATCCAGCAAGTCAGCAGCAAAATGTGAAAAGGTTGCTTTTTTCCYTGAAGGAATGATGTTCTGTTTTCCTCCTGGGCTTACTTTTGTGGCATTTATAGTGCAATTACTAAGAACCTTGCAACATCAGTTACTTCCCTTTTTGTTAAAAAGCAGTGTGAATTTCTTAATAACTGTTGTTGGCTAACATATGAAATTCTAAAATGGAAGATTCCAGGAAATCGTACATCCAGTATGAAATCTTGAAACATTCAGTAATTATATCATTGGTA